CTTTTGCGCGTCCACCCCCCAATCCACGACCAATTCTCTCTCGACTCGTCAACTTGTCCCCCGTTCGACAAACTACCGCCAACATGTCTCACGAGTCTGTCTGGAACTCTCGCCCCCGCTCGTACGGCAAGGGCTCGCGCTCTTGGTATGCCTCTGCCCGCAACCCACCACTTTACACAAACCCCCTTGATCGACATGACGGTCCACCGACATCGAAAAGAGATGGCCTACGGTCGACCGAGGGAGGAACAATTGCTCAGTGAGGGGACAAATGCTGACGAATTTTGGATGTATAGCCGTGTCTGCAAGCACTCGGCAGGTCTCATCCGCAAGTACGACCTCAACCTGTGCCGTCAGTGCTTCCGTGAGAAGGCCAAGGACATCGGCTTCAACAAGGTATGCAGTTATCGAACCGCCCTCACGATATTGCCACTGCGAAGTTCACGAGCGGCACGAGGCTTTCATGAGAAACTAACAGGACGAAATCAGTTCCGCTAAATGTTCACGACCCTGGACGAGAGAATGTTACGCAACTAAAGGGGGGATCTTGGCATCGAGATGGCCTGGTGGAAAACCGCTCAGAGGAGGGTAGAGGAGGAGGCTTCCCCTCGACCCATGCGGGCACGGAGTTTGCGGTCTCAGCTTTACATGGAAGTGCGGACGGAAGGGCATTCTGCCGAACATTCTCTGAGGATAGACGAATACTACGGCATCTGAAGACAGCAAAACGGGCAACCGGTGATGGCGCATGGTGACGAATCCCAACGATACATGATGGCTTGCTGCAACACTTGTGCCCCGGGTGCTGAAACCTCGCGCTCATTCTACCACATGTGCCCCTCCTTTCCACAATCGCAGCGGGAATGCCCGGCTCAGTAAATGTGTCTCCAGTCGAATTATTCTTTTTGTCACAGCTTCCTTCCTCATGCACACGCATCACCTAACAGATCTCGGCGATTTCATTCAAATTCTATCGTCAGAAGCTCGTCTATTAGGCCTCCATCTAAAGTACAGTGCAAGACAGGGGTGAAATAGAGCGGAGAGCTATGCGCCCGGGCGACGATATACAGCAACCTGCCCTCGGGGGACGCCAAGGGGGATGCCGGGGAGTAGTTGTACATGAGATCATAAAACAAGCCAACACCTTTTTCATCCTTTCTTTTTGTACACCGCATATCCCTTGATCGCGCGACAGCCGCCTGGGAGACAGCTCAAATCTTCACATCCACGCTGGATTGGGGTTTTCTTCCTCGTCTCCTATCCCAACATCCTGCTTATTTCAGGATACGGGTGATGAGACCAGTGGCAACGGTCCTGCCGCCCTCACGAACGTTGAAGCGCTGACCGACCTCGACGGCACTGGGCGCGTGGAGGTGGGCGACCATCTCGACGTTGTCGCCGGGCATGACCATCTTGTGAGCAGCATCCTCGGTGCCCTCGGGGAAGGTCAGGGCGCAGGCCTCATCGGCGGTACGCAGGAACATCTGGGGCTTGTAGTTCTCGTGGAAACCAGTGTGGCGGCCACCCTCCTCCTTGGTGAGGACGTAGATGGAGCAGAGGAAGGTCTGGTGGGCCTTGACGGAGCCGGGCGCGGCGATGACCATGCCACGCCTGACATCCTCACGGCGGATACCACGGATAAGAAGGCCAGAGTTGTCACCGGCGCGGGACTCCTCGCAGGACTTCTTGAAGGTCTCAATGTCGGTGACCTTGGTCTTGATGACCTCCTCACCCTTGCCAATGATCTCAACCTCGGAATCCTTCCTCAGAACACCACGCTCGACACGGCCACTGACGACGGTGCCACGGCCGGAGATGGAGAAGACATCCTCGACGGACATGAGGAAAGGCTTCTCGAGGTCACGCTGAGGGGTGGGGATCCACTCATCAACAGCCTTCATCAGCTCATCGATCTTGTTGGCACCAATCTCGGGCTTCTGGTTGTTCATGGCCATGAGGGCGGAACCCATGATGACGGGCGTGTCGTCACCCTCGAATCCGTAGGTGGAAAGGAGCTCACGCATCTCCATTTCAACGAGCTCAAGCATCTCAGGGTCGTCGATGGCATCGACCTTGTTGACGAAGACAACGATGCGCTGGACACCGACCTGGCGGGCAAGCAGCAGGTGCTCACGAGTCTGAGGCATCTGTCCGTCGGAAGCAGCGACGACAATGATGGCGCCGTCCATGTTGGCGGCACCCGTGATCATGTTCTTGATGTAATCGGCGTGACCAGGGCAGTCGACGTGGGAGTAGTGGCGGTTTTCAGTGGAGTACTCGATGTGTGCCGTGGAAATGGTGATACCACGCTTCCTCTCCTCGGGGGCCTTGTCGATGGCACCGTACTCGAGGAAGTTGGCAAGGCCCTTCTCGGCCTGGCGCTTGGTGATGGCAGCGGACAGGGTGGTCTGAGAAGGGTTGGGCATGTTAGCGGCGTCGCGGGACGAGCATGAGGGTGCCGGATTGGATGCTGACCTTTCCATGATCGACGTGGCCAATGGTACCAATGTTGACGTGAGGCTTGTCACGGGCGTAGACGGCGTATGTGCGGAAGAAGGGGGACGCGCCCTGCTTCTTGAAGGCGGCGGCCAAGGGGTTGGCGTAGCCGGTGCGCAGCGAAGCCCGCGTCGTGCGCAGGAATGGCGAGATCGCCTTGAATGTGGCAGACATTGTGATGGGTATTTATTAATGAAGATGCGTACTAAGAGAAAGGGGACAGGAGAGAGGAAGAAGAGAGTCCGACGGGCAATGGTCGTGTACGGGCGGGCGCTGAGAAAGGTATTGGCCTGATGATGATTGGGGAAATTTTTCGCTCTCGGGAGAGGTTCACTGGCTGGTCGTCGAGAGATGGACGGGACACTGGAGCTCCTCTCCTATCTGGCCTGGCACCACTGCGTGCCTGGCATTTGATGGGTCCAAGGCACACGCTCCACCGGGTCACGTGAGACCGCGACGGCCCATCAGGATGTCTCCTTTGTCAGCACCGACGACGCCCTCAAAACCCCTATACGCGAGGTGTACGGACGTCGTGTCAACTGATAGAAGGAGCGGTGGAATGGGTACTTGATATCTGATCCAGCCTTGCCCAGTGAACCCGGCTATATATAATGACAAGATTCATACATGTAACTCAGTAGACCATGACTGGGACTTGCCTGCGAAACCACTACATCCACACTTGTGTGATACTTGGTGATGGGCGTGCATGAATCTTGCTCGAAGTTGAGGGGTTGGATAGGCGGATGACACAGGCTTGTATAGCTCCAAGAAGAGAGTTCTCCGGTGAGGTATTCTTGGGAAACAGTCTCGCAATTCCGTTTCGTTGCGACGATGCACCATATTGCTACCTCCGTGACACCTTTTGAGATGTTCTAGAAGACAATCCGTGATACGGCTCAGTTCTTACTCTCCCGTTTCGCAAAAGGCAATGTCGCCCGTAGCCCATCTTTACAACTCTTTGGAGATCCATTATTGTCGAAGTGTTTCACGTGGCGGCCACTCGGCAAGAAGCAAGTCTCATCCAGTTGAACAGAACAGAAAATATTCCAAGGTCGGGAACTTCATGCAGGCATACCTTGTGCTCATGTGGATGTGAGGAATTTCTAGAAGTCAGTGTATTGTGATGTGCTGGGATGACTAGGTGCAACTAAATATATCGTGAGCCCTGCATTGTTGTTAAATGATATATCCGATCTACAGACGGCGAGACAGCGCCCTCTACACAAAAAAGTTCGTGTTTTGGACCTCTCAGTCGTAGCTAGTAAAAGTTCCTTCGCAAACAACATGGTGATTGAATCTTCAATATAGACCGTTTTCGTTTCGAAATAAGCAGGCTGAATGGACGCGCCGCCACTCCAACCTTATCGGCATCGATGCCCTGCCTTCCAGCTTTGGCAGTTTCTATTTCGGCCTACCATCGAACACTTCAAATATAGGAGAGGGACACTACCGTAAGGTTCGTCGGCGAGATATGTCGAAAGTGAGGCATCTGCGACTGTATATATAGCTTCTGCGATTCCAGGCATTCACCTGGATAGGTACATGTTGGCTGGGGCCGCTTGGGTCTGATCGTCCGCCAACCGGCATAATTGAACAGAGGAAGGAACCGGGCAGAGATTCGGATACAGAGCACCCTTTTACCCGCCTAGCTTCGAGTGCGCACAGGATCATGGCTTGGAACTCGCGTTTCTCGTGAGGGCCACAGGTGGTCGTCCTTGCGTCTTGCCTGACATACTTGGACAGAGCAACTTGGCAACATATGGTCGAGGTTGGGTGGGTTGGGGTTGAGAATGTCGACCGTACCACCCTACCAAACCCTACCCCTAAGGTGGCGATCATGCACCGGCGGAGGGAATTTTGCAAATTCTTTTCTGGGGATACTTTTCCAAAGACCAACTAGTGGATGAAATCCATTTTGTCATAACTCTAAAGTCTAGGCAGAAACCCATCCATACCGATAGATTGGCGACGATGGCTCACCTCTATGATCTTGAGCTCGGATTTGCTTCGTGTAGCCCATGACAGGCTGGCAGAATCAGCCTCTGCGATCCGCCGTTTATAGTCACTCTCACTACGCCTTCTCTTCGTGCTCGGCTTGCCTGTCGTCTCGGACACGCAAGAGAGGAAATCACCAGGCCAAGGAGTGTCAATGTCATCCCGGAGAGTGCCTGGGAGTAGCGTTTCCAAAAATCATGGGTCGTTGTCCTCTCGCTGACTGACCATCGCAAATATGACGAAAAAGAGGTCATCGAGACCACATTTCGCCTCATCTGTTAAGCTCATGCCCCAACAGAGCTTGTGTAGCGACGCTGACTTGACGTGAGTAGAGGCATAGGACAATGTCCAAGGATGGGCTTATTTCATGAATCGTAAATCTTTGCTGTTGGTATGTGTGTTTTCCACCTCCACCTCCGAGGCAGGGAGGTAGGCAGCGTCTCATGTCGGGCACGTGCTTGCGAGTTCGAGCTCATCCGTTGCTCTCAGCCTAGGCGGCTCGTGATTCAGTCGTCGCCTTCAGACGAGGACCCTCCATGATCGCTCGGCAACCCCGCCGCAGCCCTCTCCTCTTTTGCCTTGGCTCTCCTCTTGAGCTTCCGCTGGCGGTTCAGCCTCTTCTTCTTTTCCCTCAGCTGCTCCTCCTTGCTCGTCTTCAGCTTCTCCGCCTCTTCAGCCTTCTTCTTCGCCTCCCTCTCTCTCGTCCGCATCGCGAGCCTCTTCTTCTGTCCCGGTCTCTTCCTCTTGCCGTCCTCTCGCAGGCCCGTGGCCGACGACGCTGCCTTCTTCTTCGTCCCCGCGCCAGCCGCGCCATCGATGTGTGTCACGCGCCACGGCATCTCCATGCCCCAGCACCGCCGTGCCGCCCGCTCAAAGACATCCTCGGCGCTGACGGCCGCGAACTCGACCTCGGCGCGCTGTGCGTCCGTCAGGGGTTCGGCAAGGTAGTACCGCAGCGGCCGCCGCCGCAGCATGGCGCCCTCGCCGCGCGGCGCGCCCTCGTCATCGTCGGGCAGGATGACCTTTGCGGCTGGCTTGGCGGAGCTGAAGAGCCTGAATTCAAACTCTTCCTCTTCCTCCTCTTCCTGCTGCCTCTGCTGCTTCTCCTGACCCCGATGCGCCTCTCCGTCTGAATCCTGGTCTGCGGCGGGAGCTGGTGCACGTGCAGACGATGGAGTATCGATCGGGGCGAATGTGAAGGCGCTTGCGAGCTGGGCCTCAAGGCGAGCCCTCAGGGCGGCATGGTGCTGGTCGTCCTCGTCTACATCGGAACCATCAGATGCCGAGTCGAGGAGATCTTCGCGACGGACTCTGTGCGGAAGGTATCGTCGTCAGCACGTGGCGTTCTCAAGGTCTCCTCAGAGAAGAAGGCGCAGAGCCTGGGTGGGGGGGAAACCAACCTCTTCGCCTCTGGGAGTTCAAACATGATTGCTGTTGGTAAATGTGGTATGGTATCGTATAGTGTACGTGGGTGTGCCGAATGACCTGCGGTTGCAGCGCGGCGAAATTATGTCTCGGAAGTCGCCGGCCTCGGAGGCTTGGGGACGCCGGGATCTGCTGCAACTCTGATCGTAAGGTTGCAATATTGGCTTTTCCCGAGGCCAGTTGTCGCAATGTGCTCGAGCCAATGTCCGCTGTCAAGATTTTGGGCAACTCAACCTTTCTATCCGGTTTCCTTCTAGCACACCACACGGCA